GCACAGAAGAGTTGCAATAATATCAACGGCGATTTTTGAGAAAACTATTTCGCAATGTCCCGCGACAACTCAGTCAAATGCATGTAATGTTAACTGCCTTTAACTTTAAAATGACTGTACGATCGATTTAGTTACTGTATACTTATAAAGTCCTCATGCGTATTCCTTGCATGCAACCCTTCAAATATACAATACACATTTTTAATTGGGATATAGCACGTAGGAGTCTTAAAAGTGTATTACTAAATTGTATGGCACAAAACTTAGCAGATTTGCAAAATAGAATTTTTTAAACAAATTTCGCTCTTCTTTTCCCAAAAATAATGTGCTATCTCATAATTATACCAACCCCAATCTAATGGGCGCAAAACAAAAATTTTCCGTTTTATGAACAGATATAATTAAAAAAGTTCCTGCTCTTCATGAACGTTCTTTTATAGTGCAACATGCACACACATAAAGTTATTTTCCGCAGGGTTGAATATGATAAGAAATTACTCGGATATCAAAAAATGCTGGATTTCGCCCACTTCCGCCTCTATTTTCTCCCAGTTTACCGATCTGAACGGAATTCAATTCTAGTAAACAGTATTTTGCGGCGCAAGTCAACCTAGCGAACTAAATAAACAACCTTAAATGTGTGTTAAATCCCCAATCCCCGACCTTTCATCAGATATGTAATCTACTGTGCATGTCTCTAGAACAGTCTTGTTTTATAATGCAGAAAAGCAGAATTTCTGTCCCTTAAGTCAAATCAGTCACTGCGTACTGCGATTTTAACTGATCTTGAAATTTCCTTTTTGTCCCAAAACATCCACCGGGAAGAATCACGGCTACAATGAAGTGGTAAATCCGTACTCGAGGTATGCATGTCAAAGTTAATGGATCTTGCGGCTTTTGAAACAGAACAATATTTTGGAGAGAAATACTTAAGAAAATGACACTGTAATGCCCAGGGACGATTTTTAAGCTTAAACCAGGGTACTCTGCGGTTAAATTTAATTATTTCGTGAGATCTGTTGTGTCAAACGTAATCCTAGCAATCAATCTACGACGTCCGAATGTCCAAGGATAAACGCCCTCATGTTATTTTGTATTTATTTGTTTCGGTCTGGTGTTTCCTTTGTGCTTTTCCCAAGACGCCAATTTGAAACACAATTTTTTCATGATTCTACTTTTCATCAGATTTCCATACGAATATGCTGGGCCATAAAAGATGAACGATTCTTTTTGTGAAACAATAAGGTTTACTGGTCACATTGTAGCTAAAAATGGGAGAAGATCCATGCCGAGTGTAAGAGGGCTGAAATTTACAATGTAACATTGGATCATGGGTTCGAGATGGCATGTATTTTAAAAAAACCCAAATATGTTGAAGAGGCAAAAATTTAAATACTGACGGATCCCAACAGGGCTAACAGCATAATTCGATAAAAGTATGGAGTCCGTTTTTGTCTTGTTCGTCTCGCTATTTCAGTTTGGATAGCAAACCCGCCGCTAAACGCACATAGAAAACTAAGAGTAGGATAATAAGCCTATCAAGCGGTGCCATAGAAACATAAAATACCACTCGAACGATTAATATTGATAGCAGTATATATATTTGTCATGCAGCCACTTCTGTTTCGCTCGCTCAGCAAATATCGGTGACTCTATCGAAATGCAACTTAATTCATAATTTTTACAGAAAATTGTTTCGAACGAATAAAGGAAAATGTAACTTAGGTGAGTTCTTGGTTATGTGTCGATTATTATTATAAAATGCATTTTGACTCAAGGAGAGATAAATTTTATTGAAGCTATATATAGCTTAGAGCTCTACAAATATGGCAACACCGAAAAATAGACAATTATTACGCCTATAGGTAAAATATTAGAAATTAAGTGAGAAAGCACCAAAGGACTGTATAAAGTTTACCTGATGCCAAAACGGATCTACGTCACCCATAGACAGACTCCTACGGATTGTGTTTTTCAAGTTGGTAAGTAAAGCATCCTTGAGCTGTCTGCAATGTTCCGAAATATCGTCGTCACAAAAGCCTATGCTAATCAAGAGGATAAATTTATTTACCGCCCCAAGTATTTTTAAAATAAGCCAAGGAAATTTCCTTTGAGATGTGAACCTCTAGAAATCCAGCCCAATAAGCCTGTATGGTATCATTTAGTTCTGGAGAGGTTTTCACAGTCTGAAAAGTCCAACTGCAAGATAGAAAACATTACACTCTTACCCTAATTGGTCGATACTATTGTTGAACCATACAGCAGCGGGAATAAGGAAATCATAACGTTCACGCTCGGGTGTTAAAAGGCGTTCTGAATCGCTCTCGAGGGAGAAATTATAAGAGCCATCATCCGTTTTGAATGCTACTACGCATTCTGTGCCGTTAAGTAGCGTCGAGGACGACGGTATGGAGTAACATGCCGGTATAATTAAAAGCAATTGCAAAAATATCATGGAGGAGATCCAAGGTTGACCGTTTAAAATTTTGCGTCAACCTTGAAACAGTTTCCCGCTAAGCGTTAAAACTGAATAGGGCAATTTTTCATATGGCTAGAAGTTATATTTTATACCATTCCTTTCATATTTCAATGACTTTTCTAGTACAATTTGCATAAACTGGAAATTTAGTTTAGTTTACTGAGGGAAGTAAACATGTGCTTTTAGAACCCTAATTGCAATGTGCAGTGTACAGCGAAACCATGTGGGTTCCAATATTCAAACGGGACAACGAAATGTGGTTTTTGAGGTGAGATTTTCAACGGTGAAGTTAAATTCCTTTTGGTTTCCATTAATTATCAAACGTTTATTTCTCAAAGTTATTTTTAAGTCATTCGAGCGATGAGGACATCACCAAAACTGTGAAGAGGGCATCCCATGCTTTCACCAATCTGAAAGTGAAGGATAACTTGCGCACATCTAGCCTTTGAGACCCCGGTGATTGGTCGCAGTAGTAACTTCAAAAATTCTCCAAACGCCAGGCGACAATAAAATCCCCTCTCAATGCAGAACCTCTGTAGGAGCTCACAGTTAATTCGCCTATAACTCAAAGGAAAGCGACTGAGGTTTTTAAAGCGGGTTGATCTGGGAATGCGGTTAGGTTCTTTACCATTCTGGCGACCTCCTTTAACCGCTTTCGAAACTATTCTGATCTTTTGCTGTCCAAATTCTCCAGGCTTTTATAGCATACTCCAAATGTGGCCTCACAAATGTTCTGAAATTTTTGGGGAAGAGTTCTCCATCGAAATTCACAAAGGCTCTCCTGCAAAGCGGACATTTCGCTCTTCGTTATTCCAGCAATGCGAGGACGGTTTGTAGAAATTCGTCCTCAGTACACTGACATCCTTTTGCGTTTTCATGACTTGCAGAGTTGTCGCGTTGACAAAGTGTATTCTGCTGTTGTTGGAACTGGTTGGATTGCCAAGGCGGAGTATTGTAAAATTATAGGCTTTCAAACGCGGAAACCAACGGTTTGCCCTCTCTTCCAACCCATTTACTTCGACCTATAACCTATCTTTGTTGGCAGGCCACCGGCTTACACTCCAGATTTTCATGTTATCGGACAACATAGCTGTGTTACATTACAAATCACGGACACAATCGTCCACA